CTTCTTTCTTGGGCCATCCTGGGGGTCAAATAAGGTGATATAACTCTTACATCTAGAAAAGACCATCAGTGGGCTTGTGTGCTGTGGGGATGGAGAGTACAGAATGTCTTGCAGAAACAGAGAAGAAAGGGAAGGGTGAAAGGAAAAGTGGGGAGGGAATGGAGAATTTAGAGAACTGGCCATGTTATGGGCAGTTCCTGGGGCAGTTCCTGGGGCAGTTCCTGAGGCAGTCCCCTGGGCAACTTACAGAAAGAGCCTGTGTGAGCAGTCAGCAGACTTGAGTCTGAATACCAGGTCTGCCATTAGGTCACTGTATGACCTTCAGTGGCCCCCTGCCCTCTCTGGGCCTCAATGTCTTCATAGATACCATAAACCAGTCAGACTGGTTGAACTCCAATGGATTTCTTGCTGTGTGGCCACAAGTCCTTGGTTTCTGGCTTGGCTGGGGAGATTCTAAACACTTTCCTTTTCAATCTTCAATGACATTGTTGCCGGGCAGTGGGGGGGGTAGGGGGGTGGGGGTTGGGGGGGTATGGGGAAGAATCTTAGACTCCTGAGGGGGGTGGTGGGAGGAGGCAACTGGGAGAGCTGAGGACAGCCAGTGGCCAACACCCCTGCCTGAGGGTTGGTAACAATTCCTAGATCCTACTTGGTCTGCTTTGCTGCTGATCACATGCAGGGAGCAGTGAGAATGGAAAGCAGTGCCTGGCACTGGAGTAAAGCAGTGAGAAACCCAGATCCAGTTCTTGCTTGCATGGAACTAACATTCAGGGCACGTAACAGGCAACGCATTAGAGCCCTGCTGTTTGCTACATATACATTTATTATTGTTATAGTCTCTTGTCAAGTCAACACTTTTTTTGATATATAATGTCCTTCTTTGTCTCTTGTAACAGCATTTGGCCTAATGTCTATTTTGTCTGATATTAGTACAGCTGCCCCAGCCCTCTTTTGGTTACTACTTGAATTGCGTATCTTTTTCCATCCATTCATTTTTGACCCATTTGGGTTTTTGGATCCAATGTGAGTCTTTTGTAACAGCCTAGGATATATTTTTTTTATTAAAAATTTTTTTAATGCTTATTCATTTTTGAGAGAGAGACAGAGTGTGAGCGGGGGAGGAATAGAGAGAGAAAGAGACATAGAATCTGAAGAAGGCTCCAGGCTCCAAGCTGTCAGCACAGAGCCTGATGTGGGACTTGAACCCAAGAATGCAAGATCATGACCTGGCCGAAGTTGGATGCTCAACCTGCTGAGCCACCCAAGCGCCCCTGTTTTTTTAAATCCACTCTGTGGAGGGTCAGAGAAACAGTCACATGCTCTTTGATTGGAGAGTTTAATCCATTTTTATTTAAAGTACTCACTGCAAAGGAAGAACTTACTTTTGTCGTTTTATTGTTTTCTGTGTATGGTATAGCCTTTTTGTCCCTCATTTTCTCCATTATTTCCTTTTTTGTGTTCAGTCGATTTTTTTTGTAATGACCCATTTCGATTCCCTTCTCATTTCCTTTTGTGTATATTCTATAGATATTTATGATATCTATAGAAATGCCTATAAAATATAAATCTGCTAATGGTTGTCATGGGGATTATGTAGAACATCCTGAAGTTATAACCATCTAATTGAGTTCATACCAACTTAATTTCAATTGCATACAAAAACTCTATTCCAATACAGCTATGGTACTGATGTCACAAATTACATGTTTATACATTACATACCCCCTCACATAGATTTATAAGAATGTTTTATTTGTGTGTTTTTTAAACCTTGTAGAAAATTTTAAAAATGGAGTCACAAAAAAATAAAAATAAAAAATGGAGTCACAAACCAAAATTATAATAATATTTGCCTTATATTTGCCCAATTATTTACCTTTCCTAGAGGTCTTTACTTCTACAGCTTTGAGGTGTAGTATCTTTTTATTTCAACCTGAGGGACTCTCCTTAGCAAAACTTGTAGGGCAGGTCTCATGGTAGTGAACTCCCTCAACTTCTGTTGATCTTGAAATTTCTTTTTTTTTTAAGTTTTTAAAATGTTTATTTATTTCTGAGACAGAGACAGACAGAGCATGAGTGGGGGAGGGGCAGAGAGAGAGAGGGAGACACAGAATCCAAAGCAGGCTCCAGGCTCTGAGCTGTCAGCACAGAGCCCGACGCAGGGCTCGAACTCACAAACTGTGAGATCATGACCTGAGCTGATGTCGGTCACTCAACCCACTGAGCCACCAGGCATCCCTGATCTTGAAATATCTTAATTTCTACCTCACTTCTGAGGGACAACTTTGCTGAATATAGATTTTTTTTCCTTTTTGATATAGAACTCTTAGTTGAAAGGTTTTTTGTCTGTTTGTTTTAACACTACAAGTGTATCCCTTCACTGCCTGCTGGCCTTCAAAATTTCTGCTAATAGGCTGATAACTGTATCTGAGGATCCCTTGTATGTGATGAGTCACTTCTCTCATGCTGCTTTCAAGATTTTGGCTTCTGTTTGGGCTTTTTACAGTTTGATTATAATGCACCTCGGTGTGGATCAGCGTATATTCTACTTGGGGGTTGGTTCAGCCTTTTGGATTTGCAGATACATATACTTCATTGAATTTAGGAGGTTTTGGCCATCATTTCTTCAAATAAGCTCTCTGCCCCTTTTTTCTCCTCTTCTTATGGGACTCTCATAATCCATATATTGCTCCTTTAATGGTATCCACAGTCTTTTAGCTCTGTTCACTTTTCTTCATTCTTTTTTTCTTCCCGCTTTTCAGACTAGATAATTTCTTTTTTTTTTTAACATTTATTTATTTTTGAGACAGAGAGAGACAGAGCATGAACAGGGGAGGGTCAGAGAAAGAGGGAGACACAGAATCCAAAACAGTCTCCAGGCTCTGAGCGTCAGCACAGAGCCTGACGTGGGGCTCGAACTCACGGACCACGAGATCATGACCTGAGCCGAAGTCGGACGCTCAACCGACTGACCCACCCAGGCGCCCCCAGACTCAATAATTTCAATTGTCTTGTCTTCTTCCTTCAGCTCAAATCCATTGCTCATCATCATAAGCAGCAAGATGTCAGACTAGGAGCTCCAAGCTCTCATCCCTCCCACGGAAACATCAAAACAAAACAAAAATAAAAACTAGAAACTGCACTGAACTAATATAGGGGCCCTGGAAAACAGTCAGAGGCTCATAGTAACCAATAGAACATCCAATCAAAATGCCTGGCACAGGATCTTATGGGTGGGCACATACCGTAGACCATCTACGGACCCAGGCATCTGTGGGTCTATAGTCTCCCTGCAGTTTTCATAAGCAATGCCTGCTGCTTCTTCCTGCCTGAGATCCAAGTTGGATGAAAAAGGTACCATCCCTTCAGGAAGCACTCATCAGGTTAGAATGCTGCAAATAAGATCTGCTTCCCAAACTCTGATTTGAGGGAGGCAGTCGGGAACTAGACTGCTGCCTTGTCCAGCCCAAGAACACTGTTTTTCCAGGGAGGGGAGGGGACAAGGGCTAGAGTAACTACCACGAACCTTCTACGCTGTTTTGAGGGTGGCCTTTTCTTGACTGGATGGTCAGCTGGTTGCTGTAAACCTTTGACTCTTTTCCAGAGCTATTATATTGGTTCAGCCCAGTTTCTAGATTTTTGTGTTTGTTTTTGATGCTTCCATGAGAGGGACGGGGGCTTAGAGCTTCCCAGTTTGCCATTTTGCTGACTCTGATGGACAATACACTAGGGACGGCCCAAATATCCAACTGCACAATACAGGGAAGTGAACTGCATTGCTAGAGTGAATGTGTGCAGGGCAGAAGCTACTATGGATCACTGGAATGAGGAAAAGCCTTGGGAAAGGGATGATTTTTGAACTGAAGAAGGGGAAGGAAGAATCCAAGAAAGGAACTAGGAAAAGAGCAAGAACAAAGGCCCCAAGGCAGGAGAGAACCTGGTTTGTCCCGGGCACTTTTAGAAGGCTAATGTGCCTGAAGCCCAGGGAGTCAGAGAAGACAGGGCCTGGGGGGCCAGGATGAGCAGTTTGGGCTTTACTCTAATTGTAATGGAAACCCATGGAGGGCTTTAAGAACTAGAAAGACTTTGTGCGTTTGTTTAAAATGAGACAAGGCTGCTGTGCGGGTGAGGCTTAGAGTAGAAGCAGAGAGACCGGTGAGGAGGCTGGTGTAGACGCCCTGGTGAGAAATGAAGCTAGAGTCTGCAAATGAGGAGGCAGCCCTGGGCAGGAGTCACCATGGCAGCGTTCCTGAGGGCTTTCACAGGTGGACTTGGGAAGAGCCCCGGCCAAGCCAAACCCAGTCTGGTGCTGGGGCAAGATAGTGGAAGGGCACTGCTTTGGCTCCCGTGGGCTTCTTTTGAAGTTCTGGGCTCCACCTCTCCCAGCCGTGCTTTTCTCTGGGGAAAGAGGGCAAGCTGTGATCCCTGAGGGTGGCGGAGGTGGCAGTGAAAAGGTCCATGCTTTTCAAACAGGAACTTGACCATTGAGAAGATGGGGAAGTGAGGGCCCAAGGGAGGGGAATGTGGCTTTGGCCTCACGGTGAGTAGGTCTTCTTTAGTGGGGCTGAGTCAGGTACCACATGGCTCAGTTCCTGCTGGTACCGAGATGTCAGGAATCTCAGTGTGCCTGAGGTGAAACACAAAGATTCCAGCGTTGAGCTGGCCTCGCCAGATTCCTGATCCTCTGACTCACAGCGTGACGTTGCACAGGCTGCTGCCCCTCTCCCAACCTCAGTTCCCTCGTGTGGACCACCGAGGTGACAAAAGTCCCCACAACACTGGGTCATCACAAACTGTGTGAGATCACGTGTACGAAGCACTTAGTAGGTGTCTGTTGACACCAGCCACCTAGCGCACAGTACTGAGTAAGTACTCAGTGATTGATCGTTGCAATGACAACAGTCATTATCAGTAGGGTAACAATTTTGAGGAACCCATCAGAACCACAGAATCCAGCTCGGTTTGGTTTGGGGAAACGTCTGAGCCCCAGAGTTCACTTGCCCTCAGGCCTCGCAGCCCATCTCAAGGTCAAAGTGAAATGTCGTGGGTCAAAGAGAAAGAAAAAGAAACTGCACAGAGAAGGGCAATGAGCGATTAGATCCGTGCCTCACAGGTGGGTGCCATTGGAGACGAACTTTGAGGGGGGGTTGGAGCTACACATGTGAAGACCACAGGGCGGCCTCCGGGGGGGAGAGAGGAGACTCAGCCAAGGCTTGGACGTAGGAAAACGTTTCTTATTCCTTTGGGGCAGACACGAAAGAGAGGTTCATTTGGGCCACGCTGCAGTGAAGAGTTTGTGGTGGGAGCGTGAACATGAGGAAATCAAGTTGTTGGATCGTCGCTAGACCATGGATGCAGAAGTGGGAGGCTTTGTCTGCACTCTGGACGCGGTGGGGGGCTGTGACTGTTCCTGGGGAAGAGAGGACTGTCCTTAGAGCTGAGCTTCAGGAAGCCGCTCTGTCTGCCTGTACACAGGCCCACGGCCCTGACCCTCGCCCCGGGGCCAGGTCGGTGGTCTAGGCCAGGGATGCTGAGGCCCAAGCTTAGTCAATGGGAGTGTGGATGGAAGGAGACTCCAGAGGGAAGGGGTGGTCAACAGCCTCGTCAACCACCTGGAGGTGGCAGGGGCGAGGGAGGACCCAGGGAGGACTCCCGGCTTGCCAGCCCAGGACACCGGGTAGCTGAGAGGAAAGACAAGGACAGCAGAGATGCAGGAAGGAAGACAGTGGTGGCTCTGGGCCTGTGAGCCCTCTGCCGTGGGGGCAGTTGGTTCTGTGGGTCTGGACTGCGGGAGCGGTCTCAGGATTGGGGGCACAATTGTATTTGACGGTGGTTATACCTTGAGTTTGACTGGTTGGTTGAGGAACACGGGCAGAGGAGAGAAGGGTCAGGCAGGACGCTGGGCTGCCGCTGTCCCTTGGCCCACGTGTGGCCCGTCGGGCCCTGGAACAAGCCTGTCCCTCTCCTCTGCGCCATCCCCCCTTCTCATCTTACACTTCCTTTCTGGCCCTCACTTAGCTGCGTCATTTTAGGGAACTTGGAAACCAGGCCTCGTGTCTTTAACTTACAAAATTATACACTCCAATGAGCCGGAAAGGGGCTTTTGGAATAATTCTATTGAAAATATGTGGGTTTTCGCCTTGAAATGATCTTCCTGAAATTATCCCCTTTCTCTCTTTATAAATATTAAAAAGAAGGAATCAGAGCTTAGTGCTTTAAATCCCTATTCAGGGACTTTCTTGTCTGCCTCTCAGGAAAGCAGCCAGTCATTTCCGAGGAAGAAAGGAAGGCTGGCTCAGTTCCCTTTTACACGACCCTGCCCTAGATCCACCTTTCGGAGTATCCCTGACCAATCCCTCCTTGTCCCCTTACAGCGAAACTGGGCTTTACTGGAATATTACACGTCAGCGTGAAGGGTGTGAGAGAGAAGGTGCAGGCTCGGGAGGGGAGGGGAGAGGGGAGGAGAGGAGGAAGGCTGCAAAGATGGAGGCAGACAGAGACAGAGAGAAGAAGAGAGACAGAGACAGGGAGGGAGGGAGAGACATCGCTCTGGGGAGAAAGGGAGAGACATGTGTCCCCTACAGAGACAGGCTGGTGACAGAGACACGAGCTCGGGCGGAAGATCAGGGGGGACACAGAATACGGGGGCAGAAAGCAGCACACAGATGTAAG